TTTCAATGGGCAGAACGGTTGGTCCCATATTTTTTCTATTGTGAATAATGCTGCAATAAACATGTTTGTGTAGGTATCTTTTTTATAGAATCTAAATTTGAGTTCCTTTGGGTATATTCCCAGAAGGGAGGTTGTTGGGTCATATGGAAGGTCAATTTTTAGATCTTGTAGGAACTGCCACACTGTTTCCCACAAAGGTTGAACTAGTTTACACTCCCACCAACAGCGTAGAAGCATTCCCTGTTCTCACATCCTCTCCACCATCAATTGGTTTTTGAGTTATTGACATTGGCCATCCTGACTGGAGTTAGGTGGCATCTCAGTGTGGTTTTAATTTGCATTTCTTTGATGACTAGTGAGGCTGAGCATTTTTTCATGCAACGGTTGGCTGCTCGTATGTCTTCTTTTGAGAAGTGTCTACTCATATATTTTGCCCACTTTTTAAAAGGGCTGTTTGTTTTTTTTCTTTTTGGCACATTTGAGTTCCTTGTAGATCCTGTATGATAGGCCTTTGTCAGATATATCGTTGGCAAATATTTTTTCCCAGTCTGTGGGCTGTCTTTCCACTCTCTTGATAGTTTCTTTTGTTTTGCATAAGCTTTTCAGTTTGATGAGGTCCCACTTGTCTATCTTATCTCTTATGGCATGAACATCTGGCGTTTTTATCAGGAATCGGTTGCCTACTCCAAGTTCCATAAGGGTGCATTTTCTAAGATTCTTATAGTTTGAGAATTTACATTTTAGGTCTTTGATCCATTTAGAGTTGATTCTTTTGTATGGTGATAGGCAGGGGTCCTGTTTCATTCTTCTGTATGTGGTCAGCCAGTTTTCTCAGCATCATTTACTGAACAGGTTCTCCTCTCCCCGGTGGTTGTTGGTGGAGGCTTTGTCAAAGACGAGTTGGTTGAGAAATTGAGGTTTTGCTTCCGGAATCTCTAACCTTTTCTACTGGTCCCTATGCCTACTCTTGTACCAATACCAGGCTGTTTTGATTATTGTAGCCTTATAGTAAAGTTTAAAGTCTAGAGCTGTGATACCTTCTGCTTTGTTTCTTTTGTTAAGAATTGTTTTGGCTATTCGTGTACATTTATTTTTCCATATGATTTTCTGTATTGTCATTTCCAGGTCTGAGAAGAATGATGTGGTAATTTAATGGATATTGTGTTGAATTTATAGATTGTCTTTGGTAGAACAGACATCTTAACAATGTTGATTCTTGCAGTCCGTGAGCATGGAATAACTTTTCAGTGCTTTTGTGACAATCTCAGGGTATTCCGCCTTGACTTTAATCTAGAATGTATGGAGATTTGAAGTTATCTCAAACATCCTTTTAAGGCCACTGTCATTTGTGATCTCAAGCAGTTGATCCTCTTCTAGCAAGGACAAAGTCGATTCACATGGACTATTCACAAATGGGTCGTGGATCCAATCCTTCTCAGTTCAGGGGTCTTTTGTGGTTTGGAAATAATGCTCTTTTGAAAAGCTGAGATAGGGAATTATGTACCAGCTGAGAGAAAGAAGACCCTGGCTCAGTCTCTCTCAAAATCTCTGCTAATGTTCGAAACATGTCAAAAATCCCAGTAGTCCTTCACCACCCCCATAATTCCAGTTTGGCTTTCAATATAGCCATGTTATCTGCCAACTTGAACACAGTTGTCATTCTCCCCTGAAGTGACAGACTGAGTTCATCGAGCAGGTTGAATATGTCATACAAGTAAGCAAGTTTTGTGACCCTTTCTGTATCACTGATACATGTTGCCAGTTATGACTGTTTTTCTAAAAGAAATCTCTGGAGCGACTCTCATAACTCAACAACTCTGGCCAGTGATCTGCCTTTAGAAAGCCATCTCACTTCTGTGTATAAAAGAAGACATGTGTGTTCTGTGTCCATCTCCTCACAGAGCTGCATGAACAGACATGAGTTAAGGGCATATACTTTAATGTGGTTGATAATTTTAATAACATTCTGCAAAACATTGTTAAGTTCAGGTGACTTTTTCAACTAGCCAACATTTCTCTATGGAGATAACACAGTACGTAGGCTCACATTCAGAAGCAATCTCTTTGACCCGATTAGTGAGACCAGAAAGTCATCCAATCATGGCAGCCATCCATCTGTGCATATACCAACACAAAATGACCAGTTCAGTTTTCCTGATATGCAATCATTCAAAGACTTAATTAGTTCTGCAGTGGTGATATTGGTTGGCAACAAAAGTGTACATAACATATCCTCATGCACATCCTCCTGAAAAAATATAGCATACAAAAACAAGCATCGTTGTCTTGTCCACATCAGTATACTCATCAACCTGGATTGCATACGATGGTGACTCTAACAATTGTGCCTAATTATCCTCTGCTATTTCATCAATTTATCTAGTTATGGTGTTAACTGAAAGAGGAACATGTGCCACCTTTTGAACTGTAGCCTTTCCTAAAAATTCATGACAAATGTCCTTAACAGCAGGCAGTATCAACTCTTCATCAATAGTAAAGGGCTTCTTAACTTTAGCAATGTGGTTAGCCACTAAGAATGATGCCCTCAGTGCAGACACATTTGATGAATTGATTGCTTCTGCTTATCATGTTTACTTTTTCCCCCCTTTTGAAAAAACTCCAAAGGTTTGTTTTTTAATGCAGAACATTTAGTCACCATGTGGCAAAGCAGTTTTGAAGTTTTCATGACTTCCTTGGATAGCTGGTCACCATATATTATACAAAGCAGGCTTAGATAATATTAATCACCTGTTGCAATTAACCTGTAATTTAAGTAGCATGCTTGGTATTTTCTTTTAAATGCAGCTTTCTTTTTATTGGTTCTCTTAGAGTCTTTTGCTGTCTCATTCTTGGGTCTTTCCTTCTTTCAAAGAAGATCTCCATTAGCTTATGAACTTACCAAAACTGTGGCCGAGACAAGTGCTTAGTGTAGAAAAGAGGAACAGACAGAAGTGGCAAATAAAATAATGGGCAGGTCACACATGGACTAAAATAAGTGTTGAATTCAACTTAAAGTCTGCCAACAGATGCAGCTATACAGGTGTAGTATATCAACTCACTTCCACTCACTCATAGGGTTTTGATATGAGTAGGCAAGCAACTGATTCATTATGGTCTTTGTGCAGTCAAACCTCACTGCTAATGTTAATCTGTATTTGCAGCTACTCCCCAGCACTAGCATCACCACCTCAGCTCCACCTCAGATCATTGAGCATTAGATTCTCATAAGAAGAGAATAACAAAGATCCGTCGCATGATCAGTTCACAATAGGGTTCATGCTCCTATGAGAATCTAATGCCACCACTAATCTGACAGCTGATGGAGCTCAGGCAGTAATGTAAGCAATGAGGCATGGCTATAAGTATAGATGAAGCTTCACTCGCCCACCCACCACTCACCTGCTGCTCTGCAGTCCAGTTCTTAACAGACTAGTCTGTGGTCTGGGGGTTGGGGACTCCCTGCTCTAGAAGGCACTATTCTGATTTAATATGATGCATATCCAGACAGTCCTGCCAGGGTCTCCATCCCTGCCTGCTATATAGAGATCAGTAAAAGGCATACATACCCTAAATTTCTTTCGACTATCTAGCCCATGTACATCTTCCTAATAAACCCTAACCCTACTCTAAATTAAATTCAATAGGCATCTTCAAATGCCTACTCTGTTCAAGGCATGATGTTACCACTGGAACTGGTGATTGGCTAAGCCCTTTGACAACAGAAGCAGCACCCCAAGGGTGGCCTGAGAATGGACCCCCAGAGTGTTCGGTTTTTGAGCACTGAGCTCTCCTCTTTATAAACCTTTCTCTCCATTTGTTGACATCACATTCATAATGCAATCCATCTTATGCCCTGCAAACAAAGGTGAGTTGTGACAATTTGGGAATAGTATGGGAAGTTAGCTCATTTTATTAATTGAGTCATTCATTTATCTGTTCAATACTTATTGAGCACCTACTATGTATCATACACCATATTGAATGTTGGTGATATCAGGACTAGCAGACACAGTCTTTGTCTTTCAGGAATTCACAGTCCAGTGGGGAGGGCAGACAAGTGAACCAAGAAAATAAGACAATGTGGGTGATAGACGTTAAGGTAGAGGAATGCATTAAGGGCAATAGCTAACTTCATGAGAACACAAAGCTTCTTTGACAGAAATAGTGTTTAACCTCCACAGTTTATAACAATATGATTTGTACAGTAAAGAGTCAACAAGGCCTAGACTCTGTTCCTGGTTCTGTCTTTGAAGTTATGTGTCTTTGGGAAGTCATTTCAGCATTCGAGCCTCAATTCCCTCATCTTTAAGGTATAACTGATGATACCAGCTTGCCTACCTCACAGGGTTTATTGAAAGGATTAATGGTCATGAACATTATTTTTAAATTATAAAGAGTGCTGCAAAATAAATTACACAATCATAAGTTACATTCTTATGTATTTGTTGAATTTTAAAATAAAAGTTGTTCAGCACTTAGATGAAATGCTGAACAACTCCACATAAGTGTAAAACGACCCTTTCCCTTTAAAAAACAGGGGAAAGAGAAGCATAATCAGCACAAAGCAGGTCTGACTTGACTTTTTCATCAATCCAGAAAGATATTGCTGTTATCCCCATTTTACAAATGAGAGCAGTGCGGTCCAAAGAATTTGTCCAAGAACACAAGCTCTTAAAAGTCCAGGCCTGGGACACTTCCCAAAGTTTCAACATGTCAACCTTTTTTTTTTTAGAAACGGGGTCTCCCTTTGTTGCCCATGCCGGTGTCAAACTCCTGGTCTCAAGTTATTCTCCCGTCTAGGCCTCCCAAGATGCTGCGATGTCAGGCTTGAGGCCCCAAGCCCGGTGCAGTTGACAAATTTAAAACCACCAAGCCCCTGGCCTCTGGGGCCGCCTTTCCTCTGGAAGCTCCGCCTCTCGGCACGGGCGGGGCTGGACGAGGCTTTAACTCCGCCCCGTGACGCTTTAGACCACGCCCCCGGCGCCCCACCTCTCGCGGGATCTCTCGGGAGGACAGACGGGGTCAGGGCCGATCATGGCGGCTGAGGAGGCTGATGTGGATATCGAAGGGGACGTGGTGGCAGCGGCGGAACAACCAGGGTGAGGCGTAGAGACTGGGTGTCGCCGGGACAGGGAGGGGCGCGGATGCGAGGAGAGGGCCCTGAAAAGGCGGCAGGTCAGGCAGATGACAAAGGGGCAGAGGACTGCCGGGCTAGGGTCCCCTGTGGGCCGGGAGGCGCCGCCCGCCGGCTTGTCCCGAGCCCAGCTGGCGGGTACCTGGGGTTCAGGTGCTCAGGTTTCGCTCTCACTTCGTACTGGGGTGCCGTCAGGGCACCGATTTCGCCTACTACATTGCGCTTGCTCCAACAATTAGATCCCCTCTTCAATTTCCTCCACTTCAGAATGTCCCTGGAAGCTCCCCGACAACAACTAGGATAAGGGCGGCCCCGCACGAGACTGGAGCTCAGGGACCCTCGTCGCGAACCGTGTGACCTTGGGCGAGTCGTTTCATCCTTTCTCCCACGTAGGGGTAATGGTAAACAGCTTCCTGAGCGGCCGCTTGACCTAGAGGGAAGGGACCGGATTTTAGAGTTGGACGTTCTGGGTTTTCCATCTGCATTTGCTGTCTCTCTCAGCTACTCGCGTGTGACCTTGGGCAAGACACTTAACTTGTCTGAGCGTCAGACTGCTCCTGTGTAAACTGAGAATCGTGTTGTGTGTACCTCGCAAGGTTGTGAGGATCCAGCGCAATCATGACAGGATATGCTTTGGCAAACGCAAAGGGCTCTGCCAATGTGCTTCTTGCTACCCGGTTACCCTCGGGGACGGCATTGTGAGGATCAATTGAGGGCTGGCTATTTAATACCGATTCCTTCCAAATAGGCCGGTGTGGTTTGAAACGGAACCTCCTTTGACATCTTGCTTTCCGAGTAAGAAGTGGGTCTCCTTTCAGTAATGGAAGGAGGCCTAGACTGGCCATGAAGCAGAAGACCTGAGTTCTAAACTCAACCGGCTTTTGTCGTTTATTACTTTCTCAGAACTCAGTTAGGTTGAACCATAGGGAATTGCCCGTATCAAACCGTTTCTGATCTGTAAAGTGGCAGTTCCGTGTCTTTCAGCCTAATATTAGGGCCTCTGTGGACTGGGGAGAAGAGTACCAACCCAGCCCATGAGGACACTAAGGTAGTGTGTTTGAAAGTGTCTCGGGAACTCTAAGGCGCTATAAAAATGTGATGCGTAATTAAGCATGTATAGTCATTCTCTCTCAAATTTTTAGACAAAGCAGTCCAAAGCTATGCAGATGAGAGGGAGCCTTTACTAGCAATAATTGTTGACTTCCATATGGTGTTTAAATTTTGACTAAGTGCTTTGCATGCTTGATTTAATTTACTTTTCACAAGTCAATGAAATAGGTGGGTAGGGATACTTAGCTGCAGTCCAGAAAGAAATGTACTTGACCCTGGCAACACTAAAGATCACCTTAGGGCATTGGCTCTATACTTCTTCCATAGGCTTATCTTAATATTCTGGTTGTTTTAAATTTTTCTCCCTTTTCTCTTTTTCTTTCTTTTCTCTTCCTGTTTTACTTGAGCCTAGGTCTAGCTGTGGCATTTGTGGTAATCTTAGTCTCATACAAGCCAGGTTATAAAAATTACTAATTCCTGATGGTTCTCATTTTATACAGCTCCAAGGAGCATCATTAACATTATATTCTGGTGAATGGTGGCCCATGGTGTTAAGGCTCCAATCATATTGAATTTAGTGTAAGCAGTACCCTCTGAAATGTGTAGTTACAGATGCTGTACATGAGGGCTCAAACCTGTAATCCCAGTATTTTGGGAGGTCAAGGCAGGAGGACTGCTTGAACCCAAGAGTGCAAGACCAGCCTAGGCGATGTAGCAAGACCTCATCTCTACAAAAAAAAAATCAAGAAATTAGCTGGTGGTGGCACACACTTGTATTTTCAGCTACTTGGGAGCTGAGATGGAAGGATCACCTGAGCCCAGGAGGTTGAGGCTGTGGTGAGCCATGATCATGCCACTGCTCTCCAGCCTGGGCGACAGAGCAAGATCCCAACTTAAAAAAATAAAATCAATTTAAAAAAAGAAAAAAATGAAATGTATAGTTACAGCTGGTAAACGACATCTGTGAAACCCTTGAGGATTATTTTAAAACACACTTTTATGCACTTGCTAAGTGCTAGATACTAAAGTTGGAACATGATATTGAAACTTTTCCATTTCCTTTCTACTTCTACTACTCCGTCTTAAGCTTCTTTTCTTCTGTTTGTTCTTTAAATCATGGTGTTGCAGAGGGTTTTATCATAGGACTTTTGTTCACTGACTGTACAGTCCCTTGGTGATACCACCTCTAAAGATTTCAATTTCTGTTTGCTGGATTGAACCATATGAAATTTTGTCAATGTTTGACCGTTTTTGACCTGCTTGCTGATGTTTCCCAAATCTGTTACCAACCTAGATCTCTCTCCTGCACTTCAGATCCATTTATCCAATTCTCAAAGCCTGTCTGCACTTGGATGTCCCACAAGCACCTCAATTTCAGCTTATAAACTTTCACCACCACTGCCTCTCCACTGTTTCCTAGTTCAAAAAATGGCACCTGTATCCACCCAGTCACCCAAAGCACAGACCTAAACTTCATCACTTTTCCTTACCTCCCTCCTTCTGCTCCTCTTTCTTATGATTTATTTAGGTCCTGTTGATTCTGTCTAAATATCCTCTCAAACATATTCTCTTCTTTCTCTTCACACTACTTGCTCCCTAGGAATAAGCTGCAGTACCCTTTCTCTAGTATTTTTTTGCGACCCCCCCCCCCCCGCTTGCTAGTATTTTTATAATCATTCTCTCTTACCTGTTCCTTGTCTCCTTGGCACCCTTTTATTCTTTCCTGAAGTTAGTCTTTTTTTTTTTTTTTTTTACATTCAAATCCTTCTTTGAGTATCTTTGTTTTGGTTCTTCCATTTAGTTTATTTTTTTTTCTTTTTATGAGTGGTGTGGTATTGATGGTGGTTTTTATGATTTAGATATGGCTAAAAGATTTCATTGCAAAGCTGAATTCTAGTCACGTGGATACCCATCAGCAGAAACTGATCATGGTCACAGAGCATGTTGTGGTTGTTGCTTTGGAGTATTTTTTTTTTTTTTCGTGTTATTCACTTAACTTCTCAGTGGGTTTTATGATAAAATCTTCAGTCCTTAACTACTAGAGACCTGTGTGATCATTCCCCACCCACGTTGCTCATTCAGTTATTGAACAAATATTGATTGCCAAAATCCTGGATATATAGCAATGATCAAAACAAAGTCCCTTCCCGCATTGAACTAACATTCTTGTTGGAGGAGTCAGACACAAACCTATAGGTATGTCAAATGGAGATAAGTGAGAAAGATGAAGGAGGGTGGGTGAATGGCTTGTCAGCTTTGTCTCTTACACTTTCCCAGAAAAATTATAAGGTCAGAAACTATAGAACTTCAGAGGTGGTATAAATATAATGAAAGACAGTATTTGAAAAAGGGAAAAACAGCAAAATTGGCAACAGGTAGAATGTGGGTTTTGAAGAAAAAAAGGCAGGTTCAGATTTCTGGCTTGTGCACCTAGGGAGAAGGAGGTGCTGTTGACTGAGACAGGGAACAATGAAAGAGTAACACATTCAGAACAAAAGGTGATTTCAGGTGTAAGCATGTTAATTTGTGTACCTTTGCAGTTGTCGGTAGATATCCAGATGCATGCTCTAGAGTATGGTTGTTGCTGATTCTTCTTATTGAGGAATACTGTGTGAAAAAATTTCTGTAGTGAACTTGACATGTTAGCAGTTCCACCTCCTGTACTCTTGACAGACCTAGTTATTTGAGCAAAAGTTTCCTTGTGCTGATACAAGTCTCAAAATCCTTTATTTAGCTGTTCTGGTAGTTTCTTCCAGATCAGAGTTGACATTCAAATTTAAACCTATTTGCCATTAGCAACTTAGAAGTTATTGCTTTTAGTTCATTGTAGACAATTGTATTGTAACCAGTCTAGGATTAATTAAATATTCAAATTTGTAAACTTTGTTGATAGGTTTTTGCCATCTTAGAAGTACAAAATTCTTATCACTAGATTAGGTCTAGAAAAAGTCAACAACTTACATAGGAAACTATAACTTCAAGATATACAAAAGCAGAATATTAAATTTATATCATGGATTGGATCCCACAAAAGTTAAATTATTCAGCTTTTTCAAAATGAGATAAGGGATGTAACTTTAAAGCGTTCTTACTAGTTCTGTGAAAAGAGTGAGAATTAACAAAATTTGATCCTCCACAGACATAGAAAAGCCCCAAATTTATCAAATTTATTTTTTTAATTATATGAGTTGTTATTAACATCACATTAAAAAAAAATCTCTTCATCATACTTTCCTTTGAGTATTTTCTGTTTTGGTTCTTCTATCTAGTATTTCGGTTTTTGGTTTTTGTTTTTTCCATTTTATGGGTGGTGGTTTTTATGATTTAGATATAGCTAAAAGATTTAATTGCAAAGTTGAATTCCTCTGTACCTATGGATACTCATCAGCAGAAACTGCATATTGGTTCATGTTCACAGAGCATGTTGTGGTTGCTGCTTTGAGTATTTTTTTCCTCGTGAAATTGTTTACTTTGTTTAACAAAGAAGTGAACAGTCAGACTTGATGTTTAGCAATTAAGATATGGTAGCTTAGGGCTATTATGTATTTTGCAGGCCAAAGAGATAGAGCAGGCCTTTCTGCAATGTTAAATCTGTTTGTTCAGGGGAAAAGGGAGCTAAATATTGCTTGGCACCTGCAACCTTCCAGACATTGTGCCATGTGAGTTAACACCCATTAAGTGGTATAATATCACTTATATGTTCATTTTCATAATTATTACAGAAGCAATGAAAGTACAGCATCAGTTTTACAACAAGATCACTATCTTGATTCATCATGGAGAACTGAAAATGGCCTTATTGTAAGTATTTAAGAAACTGTTAGGTGCATTAAACTGTTACTCATTTCCCAGAGTGCCTTTTCAAAAAAACTTAGTGCTAGTTCTCAACAATCACAGATGTATTATGTTGAAACCTTTTTCTTACTTTAAAAATAAAAACCTCTTCTTTCTTTTGGCTTTGAAAAATGGCCTATTGAGAAACAAGTTTGGAGCCAGCTAGATTTGGATACAGATCCTTACTCTATCATTTCTCAGATTTGTGAACCTGTTTCATTGACCGAGATAGGGAACAATGGAAAAGTAACACCTAAAAAGATTTCTTCACCTAAAAAAAATGGGAATTATTACAGGGTTTCTTTCTTCATTTAGCAGTTACTTATCGAGTACTTACTGCTTGCCAGTCACTAGACCAAATTTGAGGGGTGCGACTATAATAATGACATGGTCCTTCTCTCAAGGAGTTTGTATTCTAAAGGGGGGTTAGGTGGTAAACAAGTAGACAAACTAGTTATGGATTTCGAAGGAAATAAGCAAGATGCTGATTGAGAGTACTAGGGTGGAGATCCTACTTACTTTAAGTTGTTGGTGAGGGAAACTCTGAAGTGAGATTTAAGTTGGGGGAAAAAGGGTAGACACATGAAGAGTTGAGAGAAAAAAATTTAAACAGAAGCAACAGCAAGTGCAGAAGTTCTGGTTGAAGACCAGTATCCAGAATATGATGGGAAAGGGAGGAGTGACAGCATGTGACCAGGTTGGAGAAGCAGGGTAGAACTCTACCATATAGGCTTATGTGTTAGATTGTGTTAAAGTGTTTAAATTTTATTATAAATGCAACATTTCATATAAGTTATATATATTTATTCAGATTAGTCAATTAGCTTCTATAAAATTCCTTTTTGGTACTATGGTAGAGATTAGATTGGAGAAGAGTGGAATCAAAGAGACCATTTGGGAAACATTTGCAGATTTGAAGCAAGATTTGATGATGGGGTCTTGGCTTGAGTTGGTGGCAGAAGAGATAGAGTAGGTAGATTTGACTTATATTTTGAAGGTGGAACTGGTTTATAGTTTGAATGTGGGGAGTGAGGGAAGACTCTGCAATGATTCCTGAGTTTCTAGATGGAATAACTGAGTAGTTAGTAGTGCCTTTTATAAAGTTAGGAGGCAGGGAGAGAAGCAGGTAGACGTGATGGTGAGTTCTGTTTTGGATATGTTAAGTTTAAGAAGCCAATCAGATATCCAAGTAGAAGTCTTGAGTAGGCAGTTGGATATAACAGTCTAGAGCTCGGAGAAGAGAATGAGTTGAAGATTTTTAACTCTGTCAGTTGAAAATGAGTGTGATCATTCATAGAGATTGTGGCTGAAGGAAAAAAGAGAATTACAGTGAGTTTTGGAAATAAGCAAAGTGTCTGATGCCTAATAAATAGTTCCTCATACATGCTGGCCATTTTCACTTCCATCATGGGTAGAGAGATGAACCTTGGAATCCAGCAGATGTGGGTGTAAGGTCTCTGCTCGTCCATTTAAATAGCTAGTAGTGCTGTGAATGCATCTGTGAAGTATTAATGCTTGTCTCAGTATTACCATGGGAATCAAAGATATGTCTGTGTGCTCAATAAATGGTAGCTGCTATTATTTGTAATTATCATCTTATGTATCGTTATTTAACAAACAGAAAATAATGTCAAAAAACAATAAATAAAAAGAAAAATATTTACTCCTTTTTAATAGCCTTGGACCCTGGATAACACCATCAGTGAAGAGAACAGAGCTGTTATTGAGAAAATGTTGTTGGAAGAAGAGTATCCTTTAATGATTATGAGGAAAGTAAGGGTTTCAGGGTTAAAAAAATCTGTAAATACAAAAGTCACAAGAGGCCACTGTTTACTAGTTGGATTTTATTCAGCCCCAGATTACTATTATAGTATCATGTTTCCTGTGCATTTAGAGTCCAGCACTTCGTTCCTCAGTTGTTTTACTAAGTCTGAGATCTAACTCCATATTTTTGAGTATTTGTTGTTAGCCAACTTTTTATGATATTTGAATATTGACTATAAATGATAGAATAATTAAGTAATTTAGAGCCCTAAATCCAGGCTTCTATTTTCAATGTTATATAAGGTGAAACACAGAGAATTATCATAGATGAACCCCATTTAGGCTTTCTTATTCTCTAACTCTCCCAAACGTTGCAGTTAAAATCTAGATTATTGCTTGAATTTACAATTTTCAGGTAGCCTTGTTTAAAACTAAAGCAGATGAAATTAATTTTAATAATCTATATTATTTAACCCAGTATATTTTAAATATTCTCATTTTGATTTTTAATCATTATAAAAACATTGAGATATTTTACGTTCTTTGCTTCATACTACATCTTTGAAATCCATTGTGTTTTATACTTATGGTACATCCCAGTTCATGCAAACCATGTTTCAGATGCTCAAAAGTCACACATGTGGTTAATGGCCACTGCGTAATTCTAGATAAATGAACACTTAAGTAGTCACTGGTTCACTTCCAGATATGGAAGAAAGCAAATAGTGAGAATAAGTTACATGTAAGCATTCAGAGGATAGGAATAGTGTTTTCTTATATCTTTATCCTCAGCACCTAGTACCTAGCATAGTACCTGACATACATAGTATACCGTCGGTAAGTATTTGTTAAATGAATAATATTTCAGAGTAATCTAACAGTATATAAAGTTTTAAGGACTTAAGAGGGAGGCTCCCTGGTAGATTTAATGTGAATATTTGCTACTTTTATTAGGGTAGATAAGATCTCTGAACTCTTCTGTTACCTTTAGAAATATGGAAACAGGCTGGGAATGGTGGTTCATGCTTGTAATCCCAATGCTTTTGAGAGGATGAAGCAGGAGAACTACTTGAGGATAGAAGCTTGAAAGCATCCTGGGCCACAGAACGAGGTCCCATCTACAAAAAAATTTAAAAATTAGCCAAGTGTGGTAACTCACGCAAATAGTTGCAACTAGTTGGGAGGCTGAGGTATGAGGGTCACTTGAGCCCAGGAATTCGAGGCTGTAATGTGCTATGATCATTCCACTGCACTCTAGCCTGGGTAACAAAGCGAGACCCTGTCTCTAAGGTAATAAAATATGGCCAGGCGTGGTGGCTCATGCCTATAATCCCAACACTTTAGGTGAGAGGATTGTGTGAACCCAGGATTTCAAGACCAGCCTGAGCAACATAGTGAGACCCTGTCTCTTCAGAAAGAAAAAACAAAATACAGACATATTACCAAATTGCCTTGGACAGCCAACCAGTTTCATCCATTACATTCTCCATATGTCTTGGAAAAAAGATTTAAATATTGGGACTATGTTTTCTCTTAGTCACTTCTAATAGGGAAGATAAGGGAAATTAGCATTTATGTAGCTCATATTTGTGTAGGCTCTGTGTTATTTGATTTTACATGTAATTAATCTATGTAACAACCCTGTAAAGTGTACACAGTTTTAATGTGCTTGTTACAGACCTGGAAAGTGCTTTGAGAGAAATTGGTTTAACTTGATTATGTAACGTTTATTTAAGTCACATAAAAATTATATGACCTTAACATTGTTTTAAAAAGTTTCCTTAATAATTACACAGGTATTATTTATCTAAAAAATCACTACCAGAAAAATTCTGGCTTGATCAAAAGGAAGATGATAAAAAGCACTTAAAGAGGTAAAATCAATGTGTAATATTTTTAAAAGTCTGGACTGTACTTTGAGAAACTTGACACACTTCCTTATTCTTTTTTTTTCATGTGGTGCAGTCTACAGAAGACAGCAAAAATCATGTATGTACTTATGTTTTATATTTTAAAACCCTTTTTGATCAGTTAAAAATTACAGGAGTTTTTGTTGTTGTTTTTAATTATAGTTGGCTTGTGGAAAAGCCCTCTTGAACTGGGTTTATACCAAAACATAAAGTAAATAAAAAAAGAAGTTTTTTTGTACAGATGTGGGAATGCCACAGGTATAATTTTATGATGTTATTTATTTGCTAGAATTTCTTGTATGGCCCTACATAGACAATTTCATCAGATTGTGGAAAATAAGGTTTTTGGAATTTATGGGGAAATTTTAAGAATCTGTTCAGATTTATTTGATTTCTATTGCTCTGTCAATTTTTGTTTCAACAAAATTTTTATTTGATTTGTGGCTTTCAAAAACTATCTAGAGAAATGAGCTATTTAAAAAATGTCCATTCCCTGTAGTTGAAAAATGTTGATGTTATTCAACATTTATAACTTGAAAGTTTTTGATCCCTTAAAGGGTGGATTTACATATTTGCAGTTGTCTAAGCACTTGAGCACTGAGCAGGCTTTAGCTTTTATATTTTGCTCAATAAACAGCAAAATGAAGTTAACAGAAGGATTGATCACTTGCTTAAATTAAATTAGTAAGCTTTATCACTATATTTTGTTTTTCATTTCTTGAGATAATGAATTTTAAAAGTAATAAATGTAATGTCGTCTTTTTTTAAACTTTTTTTCTGGCTCAGTATTTACATGGGTTTGCATAAAAGAATCAAAGAGATAATATTTCTGGAACCAATTTAAACTCTTACATGCTTTTCAGGATTTAGGAATATATCAATGCCTGCTACTTTGTATCCAGTCTAAGGGAGCCTGTTTGTTCATTATCACATTGACTTCCTTTGATGTCTTCTAGTGTTACCTTCACTCAGACCCAAAGCTTATGTCTTTGGGGACTCCTGTCATCCTGAGCTAGAGACATGTGACAGGGTAAATCTCTCCCCCCAGGTAGAGGCTGCAGCCGTCTTCTTTTTTTGTTTTTTGGTTTTTTTAAATTCTTAGTCTCAAAGTATGGAATTTAGCCCATGGCTGTCTATAACCTTTAGCTGCATAAATATGGAATATTCCATTTCAGAAATTTTTTTGCAATTTCTTTTTCCCCCCTCAGGGCACACTCTCCCACAAAACCAGCCAGTTACTCAGTAAAGTGGACGATAGAAGAAAAAGAACTGTTTGAACAAGGGCTGGTAAATAAAGCAATTTTTAATTTATAGTAAAATGATTCTCAAGGCAAATATTGATTGAGTTATAAGGTTAAATTAATTTTTAGAGGCTATAATCTTCTTTTTAGTTAGTTATAGCACCTTTAGTTTTTTTGTAACTAGAGTAATGATGTTTATATATAGTATATAAGAAAATTCCTTTTAACTTATATCTAAGGTACTAAAATAAATACAGATCTATAGTTTTCTTGGTATTAACAAGATTCAAGAAATTGAACCATATCTGTACACATGACACCATCTACCTGGATTAAAAGGCAAAATTATTTAGTAGTCTGGTGCTTTTTGGCAAAACAAAACAGAAACTTGTGTATTTGAAACTGTCTAGGTGATCAGCTGAATTTTTGTTCAGATATTTGGCATTATATATACAGTCTAAATAGTTCAGTGCATGTGAATGAAAACCAGAACTATTTCTTTTGCACTGAGATCTATTTAAATGCCCATAAACTGCATGACAGGAAAAATATGTATGCCAGTTTTAATTCTGAAAATACACCTTAATATGAAGAAATCTTTAATAAAGTAGTTAGGATTTTTTAAAAATTATCATGACTAGGTTATATCTTTTTTTTTAAACGTGTATGTTATTAAGTATTCTAATTAATTTTGAAATTCTGTATGTTTATATATTGCATAGAATATTTGTATAGTATTTATGTAAGATTTATGAATGCTAATTGAAATATTATTGTTAATATTTCTACAGATAAGAAATAAAAATTAGCCGGGCGTGGTAGCGCACGCCTGTAGTTCCAGCTACTTGGAAGGCTGAGGCGGAAGGATCGCCAGAGCCCAGCAGGTCGAGGCTGCGGTGGCCGGGAGCGGCCACTGCACTCCAGTCTGGGTGACAGAGTGAGACTCCAACTCAAAAAAAAAAAAAAAAAAGAAAGAAGATGTATGTTTGTATTCTAGTTAGTTAGCATCATGACATCCATTTACTCTAATGTTCTTATATAAAATATGTTAACTATCTTGAGGTTTTTAATCTCTTTACAGTTTTTCCTATACTGGGAATATTTTTTATATTGGTATTTCAGTCTATTACATGTTTGTCATTTATATAATCTAATCAATCAGCCATTTATTTAAGATAACTGACAACTGGTGTTTTGCCCCTTACCCAAGGCCAGATATATATATATATATCCATACATATGTAAATTGATTCCCAACATAAGACTCATTTTTTAGATTGTTATTGTTGACATTGGTGATAATTGTGGGGACTACATTTCTATGGCTTGGAATTCAAAAAGTTCCTAAAGTTATAGGGAGGTGCTAAGTCTTTCTCTTACTTTCATCTTAGCCTTCACTTCTGTTTGTCTAAGGTAACCAGTGTCATCTCTTCTTTGTGTTTCTTTGCAAAGACACTTTGTTCATATAGAAGCATTTGTGTACTTATTTATATGGAAGATACATAGACATCTGTCTGTCTACATTAAGAGAGATTTTAAATTTAGAGTGTGTTTTCCCACACAAAAAACATGGAATTATTGGTTGTATTCCCAACCTTTTTAACCCACTGATAAAGTTTGCTTACAGGCTGAATTCTCTTAGTCTTGGGAGAAGGGAATTGTTTGGTACTGAATGATAAAGGAATGTTTTTTCTTCATTTTCCTGGGCATAGGACTGTCCCTTTGTTCTGTTGTGAAATTGGTGAATGTTTTCTTTGCTCCTCTTTATTTATTTATTTATTTTTAGAAACAGGATCTCGTTATGCCGCCCAGGCTTTGAACCCCTGGCCTCAAGTGATCCTCCTGCCTCAGCCTCCTGAGTAGCTGGGACTACAGGCGCGTGCCACTGTGCCCGTCATCTTTGTTCCTCTTGTTAGTGTCCCCTCCCCAATTTTTTTTTTTTTAGTGCCCATATCCCTTACTGCTCAATTACTCACACCTTCCCCAGATCTCTCCTGTCTCCAGAAATGGTCCATGCTACCTACCAAGTTATCTATATACCTTCATCCCACAGTTATCTATTTACCTTTTTCCCACATAAAGATAAGTAGTTCCTCAGTAAGTTGATCTCAGCTAGGTGTTAAGAGCAATCTTAAGCCGGGCTCGGTGGCTCGGCCTGTAATCCCGCGCCTTTGGGAGGCTGAGGTGAGTGGATTGCCTGAGCCCGCAGGTTCGAGACCTGCCTGGGCCAGGCGAGACCTCATCTCTGCAA